GCTAAAAAGCAGGATGATTTCTTGCCCTCTTGACATGACAGCACATGCACGTCAGTGGTCATAAGGGACAAAGACACTCCCATCATCTTCACAAAGCTCTCTAAGAGCTTTGTTCCAAATGCTGAAGAAAGGTACAGTTGTATGCAGTAAGCTGTAAAAAACTTGGATAAAACACTAGAGATCTGTGAGCCTCCCCCAAGGAAAAGAGCACCAACTCCTAAACAAGACACAACCCAGAGGGATGGATGCTGTCACTTCCCCAGCAATGCACACACCCCCTGGCTGGTCCGTGTTTCCCCTTCAGCAAGTTATGCAAGGAGAACAACTAGAATGCTGAGTGATCTGACATTTATTCCTGCCATCTTCTCCTAATAACAATGGGGTGCACTGGTTTGGATTTGAATGTTCAAGATCCCTGCACTGTAACTAAACTCACTGCCTTTAGCTTCTTACCACAAGATACCTCTAAAGATGAAGGCAACTGGACTAAAACAGCTGAACTGTTTTAATGCTCAGTTAATTTTCTACTCATCCACAGCTGAAACCATGATTTGCAGATTTCTGTGCAAGATGAAAGTAAAATTACAGAAAAATGTACAAAAAGGAAGTGTAATTTATAGACTCAGGATTAGCATTTTTATACTGTCAAAACATGAATGTCCATGATGTTTAGTGTAACCTGACATTCATTACATCTGTTTCCCTGAAATTAAGCCAAATGCAGAGTGGTTCTGAAGTTTTGAGTGTTAACAAGCTTGTGTGCTTTGGTGAGTGGGGTCAGTGAAAAGCCAAGGTAAACAGAACAATCAGAAGCTTAGCTTAGCTTTTCTCAGAGGGAAACTGGGGACTGTGTTTTGGTTTGCTTTGAAAGAGACTGTCCTGTTAATACTGCACCACCCTCTCAGCCGGAAGTTCTCTTTGCAGGGATAAATGGATCTAGAGATCTTTCACTGCAGCATGACAGGCACCTCAGACATTGATGTTCAAATGTTTCATGCTATACAAAGACATTTTATTTCAGTTTTGGTCCAGCTAAGTTATCTCCAACTTGTCCAAACATTCATTATTTATTTCAATATTCTCTGAACACTTATTCTGTATTTCAATACTCTCTGAATGTTGCTATCTCAGTGACAGTCCTAATTCATGTAAGACTTCAGCATCACATCAAACATTACAGCAGCAACAGCTACTTACACTTCCTCTTACTAACAGCTGTAAGCCAGCACGTGTGAGCAGGAAAGTGTCGATGCAATAAACCACTAGGGAGCATTGCCTGAATTTTGACAGCTTTATAAATAGGAAGAGCTGAACCCAAGGATCACAGAAATTGGGAGTGATAAAAAAGCATCTCACTATAAGGAAAGGGCTTCTGCCATATCAAATATTTCCTCCAAAACAGGCAACTCAAGCATCTAAGATTTGTTCTAATCTTTATTGCTTGGTAGATAGTCATCTCTGAGGCAAGGAACTGGAATGCTTTCGTAAGAGCAAAGCTTGTTTTCTCCCTTTAAAATCTCACTAGTTTTAAACCTAGAATATTAAAAAAGGTTAACCTGTTCTTAACAACTTTACTTTTTTATATCAATCAAGCCACACATCCCTCTTATTTTTAAAAAGTCCTCAGCAAATTTGAAGTATTTGAAGATTTACAAAACTTAAAAAAAAAAAACAATTAGACACTTACCAAAGGTAGTTCTGCTTTCCATATCGCAGTCTTGTCAAGTTTGTTGGTTCTTGGTTTGACCTAATCTGTGTTTATCAAAACAGAATCCATTTAGATGCTTTTTGTGCCTAAGATAGTATTTTAAGAAAATTTCCAGTATTTGCAGTTATTATTTTACCTCCTCAGTCTCCAGTGCAGTACCTTCCTCTCAGGCATTTTGTCACCCTTTCATTAGTGATGCAGAGATGTAACCACTGCGTTCTCATCCCTCTGGTTCAAGAAGTGTGAGGTATGCTACATGATGGCTGCACTAAGCAAAACAGGAGACTATAAAGAAAAATATCCAGCAGTGCTATGGCACATTCCAGGCTATACATTGTGCAGAAACTGTAGCTCAGCATTTCTGAGCTTAGTCCTTATATACACAGAGAAACTGTAACAAACCCTAAAAAAAAATGTACATATTTTATTGGGAGTTGGGTCAATGAACAGGAGGGCACCTACAAATTTTAAGAAAACATAAATGCGTAGTATTTCCCTTTCCCTAAACCCTCTGTCTGGGAAAACTCTGTAGACTATGCACTTCTACAGACAATAAACCAACTCTCAAAATTACCAAACTGAGCTAATGCTTCCAAAAGCCTAGGGATTCTTTAGAGATTTATTAATCCCACTAAAATACTTCTGGTAGGAAACCAGTCATTTTAATAGGAAAGGTGCATTCAGTATTGTAAAACATTTGCAATATACAGTTTTTACAACAAGTAATACACCACTGTAGATCTATACATTTTTTTTTTAATAAGCTTGGCTCTTTACCTCACAATCCTCTTTAAATAAATATTTAACAAAAGAATCTCCCTTCTAACAATGGAATCAAGCCCACAGATAAAAAGAGTGTCAACCACAGCGCAGAAATGCTACAACAAAGCCCCTTTCACCCGCCAGTCTTGTGAAAGCAAATCCTGCAGTTCTTCTTCATCTTCACTACCAACATCCTCCTCCTCTTTCTCTTGTGCTGCTCTTAATCTCATGGCTTCCTTTAACTTCTCCTTCAACTCATCCTGGCGGTTCCGCAGAAGCTCGACACGGCGGTAGCATTCACTGTTGGAAAGTGAAACACCTGTTAACATTTGGGGCCTTTCCACATTAATGTGATCACCTCCAGTGCTGGATTTTGCTTCTACAACTTTGGATAAAGAAGCTTTACAACTTCCCAACAGTGAAAAAGAAATAAGCTTTCAAGATGCTAGTGCACCTTCTCAGTATTCATCAAGTGAAAACAGACTGAGGAGAGGTTTGGTCAATTCTCTAACAATGAGATCTAATCCAAATACTTAACTGCAATACAGTCACAAGCCATTTTTCAAAAAGCACACAACCAATATCCACTTCCACACAAGAAGGAACACCATTCTCTGCTCCATTTATGGTTTTCATGAGAGAAAGGTGTGACATAATTATCAATTTTGATAACTTAGTGGTGGCATCTCTGAAAATACAAAACACAGCACAAAGTGTTCAGATTCTTTATCTGCTTCCTCTGTGCTGTAACAGAACATTTTAAGTAAACACAATCCAAAAGCTGAAGGCTTCAATTCACTTAAAAAGTTCTGTCCTTGAATTGTGTTTTATAACCATTCTAGCCACTTCAAACAGGATATTTTTTTGAAAATGCCAAGCAGTACCAGTCTGATTTAAATTCTCCTTTGCCCCTTTCATTCTTATTTGCTCAGAAGGGTCAACATGGAGAGGTTACTGTCTGGATCCTGTCTCCCCTGGCATATTACCAATATGATTCTTACAGGCAGTCATAGCTGAAGATTTGAAGGCCAACGAATTTATTTAATTTTCAACTTAATTTGAAATAGCCTGCACCTGAATACACTCAGAAGTCAAAAGTTACAAAAAGTCTTTAAAAATGAATTTGGAACCTTTATTTTGGGGAAAAATAATTACAGTTAACACTTGAAGTACTCTACAAATTTCTGAATTTGCTTCTATGTACTTACAGCAGCCTTAGCTAGTGAGAAAAATAAATCCTCAAAGAGAGGCAGGTTTAGCTCAAGCCCTCTGCAGAATTACAGGAACTTTGTTAAAAGGCATTCCTGTAATAGCAAAGTTCAGTTTGAACCCAATGCTGTTGTTACCATACACTGGTTATGTGCAGCATGTAGATCTGCCCAGATGGTTGAAGTGTTGCTTTAATTTCTAGTGTCTTCTTTTTGTTGCATCTCTTTCTTTTCAGTCGCTACCATTACCACTATCACTGTTAATATCAGTGTGTCAAGCTACACAAAAAGAGTAACAAACTGTTCCACTGAGCTGTATTTCAGGTTACTTGAGTTTAAACCAATGCCCATCCAACCACCACACTCAACATTTCAGCAAAATGAAGTGCATCACTCCACAAAACCTTTAAGTAAGCTTCTACTAGAATTAAACAGGGTTTGCCACAGGACAGGACATTTTCAGTACAGGAAATGTTTCTTTAAAATGTTCACATAAATTCTACATCAATCAAAATTCCCAGAGAAATACAAATTAAGACATTAAGCCACCTGACAGGGGAAGAGGGACAGTTTGTTCCAAGAATTTGCCTTGTGTACTTTCAGTGATTCCAGGGCATTCTCTCTTTGAAGAAAGTTACAAAACTTTGTATAAAAATCCATGTCTTTATTAGGTATCATTCTGCAATTTGAGGGAGTCTATCCTTCAAATACTCAAATGATTAATGAGAGGTAGTATCGCAGATTAAAAGTGTTTTCATGACTCTAGTCAAAGAGCAATCCATTGCTGCTAGAGAACAGAGAATTTGAGGAAAAATTGATCTACTTACATCTGCTCATCAATTTCTCCAATCTGGCGATCTAGTCGTCCCTCCTCATCATCTTCTGCCACTATTGCTTCTGAAATCTAAACCAGAAAAACACTGAGAAAATTCACCTTCATCCTGAATTCCACTTCCACTCCTTTACAATGTCTGTGTCTCCCCTGCTCCCCTCTACCTGAAGTTAGTGTCAATCCCCTCTATGTATATTCCCATCTTTTCAAGGGCAAATACAGACAAAAAAATGGTCTGGTTTAATTTGAAATGGAAATGCTTTTTCTTAAAATCAAAAGAATTTTGGCTGCCTTGGGGTTAATCTTTGGAAAATTTCAATACACTACGATTTGAAACTGAGCATAAACGAACGACACACACCCACAGTCTGAGGCTGAAACGAGAGCTCTATCCCAGTGCTTGGGACTTAAATACACACCAGTTATTGAACATACTGTTTAAGTATTCCCACTAGATCCCGAAGTGTTTCTAACCTGTTATTTTTTTCAGCATATACTTTCTCAAATCTGAATGTCTGGGAGATGCTATGCAATCAATGGTCCACGCATAACTGAGAAGATTCCTCCTAAGCTGAAGAATTATCTGAATGGCTTATGCTAGCAAAATGTATCCACCACCGCTTTTGTATGAACATTCGCTCTGTTTATAGTGCTGACTGCTTTAAAATGAGCAATGATACATTTTTCTGCACCACTTTTCTCAGCAGCTGACATATGAGTAACTATTTACAATTAAAATAATTAAAAGTATAGCAAATACTCTAGGGGAAGACTGAGAACACCAGGTAATGTTTAAATTGTACACAAGGGCAGATAAACACCTGCTGCAGGAAGACTTTCCATGCAATGGTAAACAGTGAAAAATTGAAGTACAGAAAAACTGGCCAATTTATGTGTCTCAAAACTCTTCTGTCACCTTCCCAGATTTTGGAGTTCCTTTCCAGTGCATTTAAATTAAACATGAAATCCAGGTTACCTACACTTTATAGATATGTTTTTAAAAAGACACACAAATGGGTAGTGTTTTTAAAAGTTAAAGTATGAATATAGAGCTAAAGAAGAGCCCATAGTTGTGTCATGTTTGGATACAGGACACTAATCTGAGGTATATGCTAGCTAAATAGTATTTAAATAAAATACAGTGTAACAAATGAAACTAGATACATATGACTGGATCTTGATTAAAAGTTTTCATCTTAATTTCATTTAAGTGGAAAATACAAGAACCCTTTGCTCATTTATAAAGTGCATTTAACCACACACTGCATTGAAACAAACAGCTGACAAATGCAGATGTCAGCCATTCTGCAGAGCTGCATGAAACTGTTGTTTTCCTTATTGTGTATAGTATTTAGAATCAATAAATATAGATTCCATTACTTACTGTGTTGACCTGTCGCATTGCCTTTTGAAATTCATCCCATTCTTTGTCCATCTGATCCTTTGGAGCATCAACTTTTCTCACCTAGGGAACATGAAAATTTATAAATTAACAATTTAAGTCTAATGACTCTTTGGGGCACTGTAAAAAAGAAACCAGGAGAAATATGGAAAATTATGCTGTATTATCAGAGAAGTCTGGTTGATGTATTTCAGTTTAAGTAACAGATATGAGTGAGAGAGTGCAGCTGCACAATGGTTTCGGAAGAAAAATCTGACTCTGCTCCTGGATTAAACAACATCTGTGACTGCAGCATTAAAGAATAATTATTGACTAAAAGTGGCTGGTGTGGAATGTCTGAAGTAACAGAAGTGAGTTTGATGGTCTGCCATTTCACTGTGTCAGGTGGTAACTATTAAATTCTTCTGTAAGCTGCCTGTACAATTGCATACAGTAGCCATTTCACAAGCCAAAAAGCAGTGAATTGTTTGCCTTTGGCATAACATAAAATATCCAACCTTTCAGTCACTAGTCTTCTGGTGTTAGGTAGCCTGACTGTATTTCAAATCTAGTCTAATTTTGTTGGCTCACAGAAGAAACTGTACAGCTACAAACCAATTTTAATGACATGCAAAGCTTTTTATTATGTGGTAGATGGCATTTAGTACTAAGACATGAAGTCTGAAAAAGTAGTAGTGGTAAGAATGTGTTTAAGATCTACAGCCAAGGTAATCAAAGCCAGATTGTGCTTTTAATGCAAATAAATAAACAAGGTAGTCTGTCTGTGTAATTGAAACTTACACAATTCAAGACTGGAAGATGTGGCATATAATGTATTTTAGAGGACAGATTATGCCTGACTCAGGACTGAGTAGAAATTATATAGCTAGGAGAACTAAGCAGTTTGAACATAAGAAGTCATGACACCATATTTTTGCATTAGTTTTATTTTCCCTTTATTCATTCTGCTCTTTTGGTGACATATCAGTCATCACCTTAGTAAAGACAACAGTTTGGTGTGTTTTGTTCCTGAGTGATTATACAAAATCAAGTAGTATGAATTAAGTTTATAGAATAAATTAGAAGCTTCCAAGCAAACTCATACTGGGAAGTAATAGTCATCATTTCATTTTTCTGTTCTGTTATTATTTCTATCATACGTGTATGTACTGTGTTATTATGCATTGTGGTTGTCTTTTGTAATTCATAATTATTTGTATTTCTTACAATAAATTTAAACACTAAAGTTATTATTTTTTCTTGAAATATTTTTCTAATCCAGAATTGATATGCCTTACAAGTACCTGATGCAAATAACAAGCATTTTTCACACCCACAACCTCCCTTTCAAACACCCAGTTGATTCTTCAAATAATTATTTTTGTGTATGATTCCAACACAGAACCACCGCAGCCACCTCAATAGAAGTCATGTCACAAACATTTTCCTTCCTCTGAGTATCAGTTACACTCAGAAAGGGCTGATTAAGAGGAAGAGCCTCTCCAAGCAATTCAATGGAACAAGTAACCACTTGTAAATTTATCAGTGGAGGCAATAACCAGAACAAAGGTTACCAAACCAGCGTCCTCACAGATATAAGCAGTTTCTCCTTTCCTGCTAGGCATTCCTGCATTTCCTACTTATGATGAAACTAAGTATTTGAAAAATTTACTACTTCAATTAGACACAAAACAAAAAACAAAACAAAACAAACCCCACAAAAAAACCCAGCCAAAGGATGTGTTTTTCAGCTACATATCTCAATATTCAAAATATCATTATTCAAAACTATTCACATATGGCAACACCTGGGCATGAGTAGTGCCAAAAGAGTCTTGCCAGAGCAAATACAACTAGTGGGACTAACTAAACATGAAGAAGCACTATTTGGAAGGTCTCCAAATTAAATGTCATGGCTTGGCCTCACAATGCCATTTAAATACACCAGCAGCCTTCCACTGTGTGAACAAGGAAATGTACTCCAAAAAAAAAAAAAAATACTTAGGCCTACAGCACTATATTTCAATAAAGAAAGCAAGAAAGCCATCAAATCCGTAGCAAATTTTACAAAACAAAACAAAAACAGGTTTGTATTTCAAACACCAGTGTTTATTTTGGTCATCATTTGGCACCGTGCAAGCTGAAGGCAGTATGAATGTTTTTGAATTTCAAGGTTTTTAGTTGTGGGGGTTTTTTTTGAGAAACCAGCTGAATACCCACATTTCTTTTCTTTTCTGAGCATCATAAAACCCCGAAGTGGTAAAAGACGAGAGGGCTGAAGAGCAAGTTCACTCTTGTGGTGTAACCAGCACTACAGATGACAGCGTGTGCAATACTGGAGGTTTTCATTCCAGCAGGATGCACCCCATCAGTCACACAGTGACTCAACACTTTTCAGCAGGATCTCACAAAGGACATTATAGAACATCCCCAATTCCAAAGCAAAACTGAATGTACAAATTAAGTGAACTGCTTTTCCTGGGATGACTCACAGAAATAAAGGTAGATTGTCCAAATCTCAGTTCAGTATTCCAACCAACAAATGACATTTCTTGAAGAGTCACAGAGGAACCATAATCAAAAATACTTTCCAAGAGATGACTTTACCAAGCTCTTCCTGCCCACCTCCATCCCTTTTCATGTTTTCTCATTCATACAGAATGAATGTTTAAAGCTGCACCAGGGGAGGTTCAGACTGGGCAGTAGGAAGCATTTCTTTACCAAGAGGGTGAGCAGACACTGGAACAGCCTCCCTGGAGAGGTGGCCAATGCCCCAAGCCTGTCAGTGCTTAAAAGGGATTTGGACAGAGCCCTTAAGAACAAGTTTTAGCTTCTGTTCAGCCCTGAAGTTTTCAGGCAGTTGGACTAGATGATTATTATAGGTCACTTCCAACTGAAATAGTCTACTCTAGTCTGGATAGTTCAGTCATTTTCTTATATTCCAGTATGACTGATTACCTGGAAAAGCATCCTTACTACTCAGAAAATCATTACAACTGGCAGAAATAAATCCAGTAGCATAAAACAAGTAGATCACTTACTTTTGCATCCACTTCAGGATCATCGAAGAAACCTTCTGGCAAAGCTTCAGCAGTGTTTTCTTTCCTGAAATATTTGATTACTATTAGCCCAAGTCAACACTTTACAATCTGCTTTACTGCAGAGTTAAAAATAGTCAAAAACAAAATTCATAATCCTTTGTGTAAGTATGTAGAAACACAGCAGGATTTTTAAGCCCTTAGTTTTATCTACAACCATCAAAACCTCCTCCTTTTGCTTGATCTTTCCTCGCTTTGAAGGAACTGCACAGAAAGGTTTAAATCCCACTGTTAAAACAAGAGCTGTGGCTTATGCTCCTTAAACTGTACTTCCCAGTGCACTGAACACCCGAACACTGCAACAGCACGGTTTCTACTTCTGAAAAACTAAAGCATTATCTAAAGGAGTGCTCAAGTGAGCTGAACCATTACCACACAACAAGCAGTTTCCTTTAAACAGCGGAAAGCGGTGGCTGACATGAACCCACAGAACCCTGTGTTAAAATTTCCAAAGAGATGTCAAGCAGACTCTGTATGACATTGCTCCATCTCTTCTCCTGTCCCTAGGGTGCAAGATACCTGTCTGAAACAATGCCTGAGGCTCACATATATACACACGATTCTGAATGCAAGCTAACAGTAAGTTCTAAGGGATCACAGTCTCTGTTTCCTGGAAGATTTTTGTAAACAAACATTTGTTTGTTTACAATTGCTAAGACTATCAATATTTGATCTGACTGCTTACCTTTCGATTACCTTCTCTTGTACCTCTGCTTTCTGTATGGATCCTGAATGGGAAACTATAGGAGCAGCTGGAGTTTTGGTGTCAAAAAAGTCTACAGGAAAGGACAGAAGTCTATGACTAAAAGAACAGCTGTTCAGGCATTTTCTAAAATTCCTACTAGACAGGAATTTCAGTTAGTACCTTACTGAATCAAGGGAAGAACAGCCAGCTGTTACTTCCCTGGCAGCCTCAAACAACTAGAACATAAAATCAATAAGCAATCACCACACAGTAACAGGAGATTCTTTGCTAGCTTAGCTCTACTTCCAGTATTACACACCCTCACCATCACCTAATGGCAATATTTAGAAAAATAAAATAAAAACCTTTCATCATCAGTTAAATCACAGTTTCTCCTTACAGAAGATTACTATTAATTACTAAGAATTACTAATTACTATTTCAGTCAGCATTACCTGCAGGCAGAGAATTAGCTATTACTTCTTGAGTTGGAGGTGGAATTTCAGTTTTATGCACAACAGAAGATTTGCTTGATTGTTCTTGTTCCTCCTCTTCATCATCATCGTCGTCATCGTAATTCCCTGACAATAAACTGGGACCTGGGCCCTTGGAAAGGTGTACACTGGCACTGTCTTGCTCTGCTTCATCAAAAAAATCTGCTGGCAGCCTGGTAAAGAGCCCACAACACAACCGTTTGAACCTTCACAGCAATGGGTCCAGTCCAGCAGCAGCAGCCCAGTCCCTCTGTGAGCAATGCAGGCTGTGAGACACTGAGCAGCAGCCTGAACTGCACAGCTGCCAGCACAGCCACCCTGTGAACACAGCACACACCTGGGGCTCTCTTTTTAAAGAGCTCCCCAGAAATGCCCTGGTTAATTCTAAAAACGTATTTTAGATCCATTGTTCCATGTGCATATTCACATTAATAAAAATAACCCATAACAAATTGGAATGGTGGTTAAAGTAATTCTTTTTCCACCTACTAAGTAATTTGCTACTTATTTTGGGTACCTAGTGCTGTCCAGGACTGCAATTTAGAACAGGCACACAGGATCAGCAATGAGAAAACACAGATTTGCTGGAATAGCTGCAGCCTGAAAGCCAAACATTTTTAATCATTATATTTTAAACTAATTATATCAACAAGTTCAAAAATGGACAAACCTCTCAAGTGTTAATTTTGCACACAAATTCAAATTCCTACAAGGAAACAGC